ACAAAGTTATATTTGCAATTTATGAAAAAATTATATACATATATATATATATATATAATTTTTTAAATATACTTTTTAATATAAATTACAAGTAAAACGTAAAACACAATACTTAAAAGTATATCAATTACGGATATCCAAACATAAAAAAGTAAACTAAATTATAAATTCAAAACCAAACCAAAAATTTTAAAAACCAATACAAATTAAAATTTAATTTGATTTTTCGATTTAATTCATGTGAGATTGATACTTGACACTTTACAGACTCTATATTACTTGTATGCCTTTATTTTATAATACATTTTACATAATTTTTAATGATTTAATACCAAAAGAAAAAAACAAGTTATTCTTTGATGCAATTTTAATGGCATGTGTACTTCTAATCCCTTATTACATAGTAGTATATATATACACATACATAATTTTTGTTAAAAGTGTATCTCCTAGCAATAACAACGTAATAATAACGGTATAACAATATATTGAATGTAGTAAATATCTTACCAGGGAATTATGGACAGTACTATATATCATAGTAACTAACAACTTCATATATATATATATATATATAATAAGAACTTGATAGATTTTACATTTTATCATTATGTCATATAAATTAAAATAGAAAAGGCAATATATATTGAATTCATACTGACATGTATCTAGTTTATTTTATAATTTTGTTCATGATTTTAACTTTGACATAAAATTAGAACTTGAAATAATTAGTTTAGGACTATTTTAAGTAGAATAAAGGTTTTGACCACAAATTTTAAAATTTGGACTTTTTCTCCAAGTGAAATCTTCGTCCCAAGTACTATTTCAACTTTCAAATATTCTTTTTCAATTTTAATACTCTTTATTTAACTTTAATTTTTCTCTCTACTTCAATTTTGTGGACCATTCGATTCGGTCCCAAAATTAATAAATAAATGAAGAATTTAATTTTAAAATTAGTTAGTTTTTAATAATTTTTTAAGTAATCTCTTTAAAATATATATATATTAACATTCTTTTTGTTATATTTTATTTTTATTGAAAACAATTTATTCGTCCCAATAAAAAAAGACAAAAAGTCTATGTATAATTTATTGTTACAGACGTGACTTATGATTTGTGAAATTACATAAAATATATTAATGACTTTTTTAATTAAAAAAAAGAAAAGACAAGTAGTACCTAATTTTTTCATGATTTTTTTTTATATATATATATATATA